GTGCCCTCATGGCACCTGGAGGTCTATCTATATCAAGCTTTTCTGTGTGTGAGCAGCATCCAACCCCTAGGGACATGCAGGGGACTCAGATTGTCTCCCTGGCTGGGCATTAAACCACAACATGGCCCTGATAAGGGAAGATACCAGACTGAAACCAAGTGGAAAGCAAAATGTTGAGGTTGTTCTAATCAGTTATGGATGAGACCCATGGCATCTGCTTGGAGACCCACTCAGATCTCTGGAGCCTTTTCTATTTCTCTGCATATGGGTCCCCTTGGGGGACCCTTTTAGTGCCTTATCATGGTCAGTAGGCCTGGAAAATAGCTAAGGGTCCCCCAGAACTGTTCTGGGGGTCAGGGTGGCACTGGGGCAGCCATGGCCAGCCACCCACCAACCTCACTCCTGGCAGAGGCAGATGCTGGAAGACAAGAAACCAGGGAGACGAGTGGGTCAGCTTGGGTGGTTCTTACAACCTCTCCAGGAAACAGTAAAGAAACAGTGCTCTGATCTCATGCTCAATGTGCAGAGTCACATCACCAGCCAGGAACCTGGATGGGCTGTCTGAGCCGTGTTGGTCTGGGCAGACAGACAGGGAGAGGTCTCTTGCATGGCTTGTCCATCACAGCCATGTGCAGGAGGTGGCATGGGCTGGAATGGCTTCTGGAGCAGAGAGTCTAAAGGACATTTGCTGGTTCTGAAACCCACAGAAACCACAGGAGATCCTGCTCCCTCTTAGCTGGACAGGTGGCCATAAGCAGGGTGGTCGGCCCAACTGCTGGGGGAGAATACAGAGAGAAAATCCATGCTGGAAGAGCATTATGGCTTTGGCAGCCCTGGGCCAGCTGCCTGGTTCATGTCTCCCATAGAGAAGGCCTGTTAAATTCAGAGTTTCTGGACACTGCAGTGGCACGGAGCTATATGACAACAGCAGGAAAACAATGATCTCTCAGACCCTGTTTGGTTCTCTCTTGTGCTGGAAGAGACACAGTATCTGTCCCAGGCACTGATGCTGTAGGCAGACAACAAGGACATGGGTCTGCTCCAGCAGCATGGGCTTTACAAGCCAGAAAAAGAGGAAAAGCAAAGGAAACTGCCTCCTAAATATGAAATAAGTGGAGGCTGGCTCCAGACCCTCAAGACAAAGCTATAAATCTGCCCAGCCCTGCTGCGAAAGCATGAGACACCCTGGAACAGCCACATGGCGTCACAGTGTCCTTGATCTCTGTTTTCTCTTCCACCCCTTCCTTTCATCCCCGCCACCCCCGAGGCACGTTCAGTCTCCCGGTGACTCCGGCTCCTCGGGCTGCTCCCAGGCTGCTCTCCCGTCCCGCTGTTTTATGGCAGGCTGGGTCAGGTTGCATCGCTAATGGCAGGCGCAGGGGGAGGGCAGTCCCAGCTGAAGGACGAGGCTTCCAGCGGGATGTGCTGCACCTCTGCCTGGCCCTGCTGCCCTCTGCCCCGTTTGGGAGGCACCGGGACGGAGCTGTGCAGGGAATGCAGGCGGGCGGGTGTCCCCCCCGGGGCTGGTGCCGGGTCATGCGGGTGACAGAGCTGCACGTGGTGGGCAGTGGGACCGAGGGGATGTGTGACCCGTGACTGTGCTGGCCATGAGGCACTGCCCCAGGCTGGCTGCGGGTCACAGGACCCACCGGGACAGCTCCTGACCCTCCGCTGTTTGCTGGGCTGGAATTTTCCTGGTGAGCTGAGATGAAAGGAGGAATTCTCTGGCTGCCCCAATGCCTCTTCCCAACGCAGAGTTGACACCGAGACGTCCCCTGAGAGACATGGCCTAGCCCAGCTCCCCAGCTGCTTTAAAGGCTGTTTTGGAGCAACAGATACCCCCCCTCCCACGAGAGCAAGCAAGGAGACAGTCTCAAAGACCACCCAAACCACATCCAGGCAAGGCTATTTCCCGCTTGTCCCCATTTCACCATGTCCTGGACATCATCTGGAAGTGAGAGAATAAAGCAGAGAGGGCATAAAGCCATCGCCTGGCTCTGCCCTGGTTTAGCTCCATGGAGCACAGGCGGAATCAGCATGGAAGCCACAACAAGTCTGTGCCACATTTGTATCCTTTGTGTCCCTGGGCTTGCTGCACAAGGAGCAGGGGGAAGAGAAATGTGTTCAGTCTGTAACTAATGCCAGAGCCTAAGAAACGGATCAATTCAATCCCAAACAATTTGTAATGCAAAGGGAGCAGTTCTCCTCTTGGTTTACTCCTCCCCACGACCAAACACATGCTCAGCCCCTCTTTCCCACATCCCTGCCCTGGGAGAAAAGCAGCTCATGCCCCAGCACAGACAGAATCCCCACCCCTCTCCACTGCCCCCACCTCGCAGCCGATTTAAATCCCTGGCACTGGCACTCGGTGCCCGTCCACCCTCTGGCACCAGAGAGCCAGGAGCTGGAGACAGGGTGCCAGGGAGGGGGGCACCCCAGCATGCTGCCTGCACACAGCTCAGCTCTCCGTGTCTCCAAAGGTTTCTCTCCCAAGTGTGCCTGACTAATTAGTAAACGGAGCCTAAACCTTTTGGTCTCCATCGATCTTATCTTTAAACCCTGCAGACAACAATTCCTCAATCGATACCTCATTTAATTGCTGCCACCGGGCTGACAGCTGGGCTGCTGGCTGCGCAAGCCTGGCTGTCACATGGCAGGCTGCCAGTGCCACCTTCTAATCCCAAACTGATTTATCCTCTTCCAGCTCCTCTGTCCCACCCCCCAGTCCTGACCCTATTCCCACCCCTGTCTCCCTGCCTACCTGCCTCCCCCACGAGCACATCCCACCCCACCCCCCAATAACTCACCCCCAGCACAGCTGTGACCAAGCTCGTGTTGGTGAACACCTGAGCACGAACAAACAGCCCCCACATGCTGCTGAGACCTGATTCAACCTGTCCGCAGCCCAGCACTGCTGCAGGGGGACACCTGGATGTCACCTGTGATGTGTCACATCCAGCAGCTCCTGCCTGCACGTCCCAGTACCAGACCTGGCCTCCAGGCATCCACAGCTGGGCCACAGCATGTACTGGGCATGATCCATCCCTGGCTGCTGCTCCTGGCCAGCCCCAGGAGCTGGATTTTTATGGATGCAGATATAGAAGCAGGCCATGGCTGCTATTTCGGGAGAAGCTGCCCTATGGAGTCAGGCAGTGACTCCCAGCTCAGCACTCTGCTGAGGGCTAGGGGAGTGGCAGGGGAATCAGTCTTCTGTGATGGGGCTCTGGCCAGGAGTGCTTGTGTTTGCTCTGGCTCAGTTTTTACTCTTGCTTTGATCATGATTTTTGCTGTAGTTTAATGATAATCATTGGTGCAACACACATTTCCTTCAGTGGCAGAAATGGGGAATAATTGCTGTAACCTGATCTTTGATCAGTTATGTGTTTGTCATCTGCAGCTCTTGATGGCCTCTCTTTGTGAGAATGCTGATTGCTCTCTCCTTGTATCCCCAGGAAACATTAATGTGTAATTTCGGAAAGAAATAGCACTGTATATGAACACATCACCAGCAATACCACCAGAATGAAGCCTCAAGACATGTCCCACAGTGCAAACCCCGAGTCTGGGAGCTGCCCAGCAAAGGCATGGGTGCCTTTTTCCAGTGGTGCCTGTGTGCAGTGCCCAGTCAGGGACACAGTGCAGACCCACATGCTCCTCTGAAGGTCACTTGGTCCATCTCCAGCTTTACATAGAGGCAGCAGCTTGTCCAAGCACTGCTGAACACATCTTGGAAGACTTCTCAACCTGGATGTGGTGGGACTGGTGAGCTTGGCTGGTCTGCCAGCAGTGCTGCTTTCTGTAATGTCTGTGGAGTCAGTGTCTGGGGCTGATGGCTGATTTCCCGGAATTCCAGGGGAGGACAGGCCATAGATCTGCCTTACAAAGGGTGACTTATCCTCTGGGTACCACCAGTGGCACTTTGAGTATCACCTGTCTTTGCAGTTTTGAGTTACTCCACTCCATGGTGACCCAGAGTCGGTCTCCTCCAAGGAAGAGGAGGTTCAGAGACATAAAATAAATCACCAGCCTCACTACTGGCCTTCACTGACATCCTCAGTTTGTGCTAATTAAGAGGGATGAGGCCCTTGCCATGCCAGGTGCTGGAGGTGAGTCTGGGGAACGCACATGTCTCACCAGTGTCCAGCAGGGATGTGGAAATCTTCTCCAAAGTACCATTTAAAGTCTTCACAGCTCAGAATTAAGGAACTAATGCACGAGGAAAGGGCAGGGGAACAGGCCAACTGGGGGCAAACACAAACTGGTGTAGGTGGGTGAACTGTGGGAGCACTGGGCTCGCTCAGGAGGCCTGTGGCTGCTGCAAGGGGCTGGTGCCTCCTCCAGCTGATGACAGGCAGGATGTACCACATCCCACACATCTCCCCTTCCAGTTTGCTCTTCTCCTGTGACAGCTACACCAAGGCTGAATGTGACCCTGTGCAAAAGCCAGAATCTGTTCTTGGTGCAGACTGCTGAGGCTGGAGGACAGAGCAGAGGTCAGGCTGCAGTTAAAGGTGCCAGAATCCCAGATGTCTGGGCCATAAACCAATTCCAGAGCCTTTCAGTGTGGACAGAACCTCACCTTTACATTCATGTTGTCTTCCCACTGAGCTCAAACAGCGTCTGTGCAAGCAAGGCAGTGTCCTGTCCAGGTGCAATACTAGGAGACAGGCTGTCCTGTTCCCAAATCCCAGGCCACAGCTCCCCAGCAAGCCAGGGAGGAAGGGGAATGCTCGGTAGCTCCATGAATGAAGGCCATGGAAGCTTGTTGTCATGGCAGTGGGAGTGAGTGGCTCCTGAGTTGCCAGCCACAAGAAGGTTGTTATCAGCAATGAGAAGTTGTTTTCACTGACAGCTTGAGGCTGTTCTGGGCAGGGCCAGGAGCTGGACTCAATGACCCTTGTACAAGGTCAGGAGTTGAACTCAATGATCCTTGTGGGTCCTTTCCAGCTCAGGATATTCCACGATTCTATGATTCCATGACTATTCAATAGCCTGTTTCAGTCAGGAGTGCTGTTTGCTGCTCTTGCCAGGGGCCCTGTGAGTCAGGCAGGAGCAAAGGGGGTCCAGGCAGGCACTCCTAGTGGGAGAGGTGACTGGTGGCAGAGGAGACCCCCATGGGCAGGGCTGGGGTTGGCTCCCTGTGCCGGTGGTGGCCCGGGAATGCCGATCCCGCAGTCATCCTTCGCCGTGGTGCCAGAGGGTGCCTGACACATGGCACTGGGAGATCTGCAGTTGGCCCCGAGCGTGCCCCAGATGGTTTGATGCCAGGGTGTTTGCACACAGCTCTGCCATTTAATGGGGAGAGAAGGCAGAACTGATCCCAGCTGAAGCCGTGCACCAAACACTGACAGACTGTTTGTCGAGACACAAACATTGGCAAATGGCCCTGCTTGCCGTGTACTGAGAGTCACGGCAGAGAGGGAGGGAACCCAAGAGCAGGGATGTCTCTGGCAGGGACTGTGAGTCCTCAAAGTGCAGTTCAGTGTGTGTTTCTGGGAAGAAGGAAGTCGCTTTCTGGGGAGTTTTGAAGTGCCCTTCTCCAAATGGGTGGAACTGGGATGCCCAGCTTGCATAAATGAGGCTCGGGGTGATGTGGATAGTTGGGTATGATCCAGTTTGGGGGATGGAGCATCCCACCTGTCCAGCCAGGATGGTACCCCTGTGGTCCCTCAGGTTTGGTGTGTTCAGGAGTACCTCTCCAGAGAAAGCCAGACCCACCAGCACATTGGATGTGCCAGAGACTCCTCTCCCAGCAGGTAATGGAGCACTCGGGGCAGCAGTGGGGCTATCTGTGATCCATGGCTTTTTGGTAGGGTTGTGCCTTACTCACCAGCATCTGCTGTTGTCTATTCCCCTCTGGGATCCCACACTCCAGAAAGGAGTGGATGGGAGCCATGGAGAAGGTGACACAGAAAACATGAGTCAGAGCTGGACAGCCTGGAGCAGAAGCCAGGGACCAGTGTTGTGCCCAGCGGGGGGGACAGGTCTGCTCTCCCCAGGGACAGGCTGGGACCTTCCCACACCGTGTCATGAATTTACAGTGGTGCTGTGAAGGGAAGAATCACCTCCAAACAGCATCTTCAGGGCTCTAGTGGATCCCAGGGTTTGGATCCTGGGAAAGCCAGGTCGCCTTGCCAGAGTTCCCAGCCCAGAAAAGCCAGCTCTCAGGAGGTCTGGGTGGCAAGGGGTACCTGAAGGCACTGACTGAAGAGCTTTCCAGCTTCCCATGAAACTAGGGAAAACAAGTGCTGCTCCTATGCTGATCTAGGAGCTTCATTTTGCCAGCAGGAGCCTTTTGTCTCTCAGAAGATCCTCCTGGCTGGAAGAAACTTTGGAACTTAATTGTTAAGCTGGATGGGCCTCAGTTCAAGGTGATGGACTTCCGCAGACAAGGAGCGCTGTGTCTCCAGGAGCTCTGCCCTGCAAAATGCTGAACACCTCCCAGGGCAACGGGGTCAGGGAGAGGGGGTCCCAGAGGAAGGAAAACATGGCCCATGTGGGTGGGGGGCATAGAAGGGTAATGAGGGGGGAGGAGTTAGCACCTGGCAAGAATTACAAGCACGGTAAGGCATTGTCATCTCTCTGAACACCACCATGGGGCAGCCTAATGTCAAAGGAGTCCACAGTTTCAAATTACCACTGATACCATATCAGAAATATCGAAATTTGGGTTAAAAGTTCAATGAACAAATGCAAGGACTCTTATGGATTGATACTCTGCTTTGGAGTATTATCCAAAATGTAACTGCATTAGAGTGAGAGTAGTAAATGTGTCCCTTTCACCAAGTTCCTGGGAAGAGGAAGGGTCCCTGCAGAGTGCAGGGCTTGGCTGAGTGGCAGACATGGGTCTATCCCTCTGCCAGCCACCACATTCCTGCCTCACTCCATGCTGGTCCCCAGCCAGCAGCACCACCCAGGACTGCTTGGGGGACCCACCTGGAGATGCAAAGGCCTGGGAAGGCCCATTTGGAGCAGCCATCCCCTAATATGCTTTGTGACAGCAGCCCAGGACTTTAAACTCGGTGCCTGTGACTGCATAGGAGGCTCAGCCAGGTAATGCCAAAGGATGTGGGGCAGTGTGGTCAGTCTGTCTTGCTCTGTGTTGCCTTCTGCTCTCTCCTGGGGCCTCCTTGGTGCTGCCAACTAACCATTTGTGATGTTTTTAAAATCTCAAATCACATGATAGAGATGGTGGTGGCATAAAAGGCAAAGAAAGTTTTGACTCATGGGAGCTACTGTGAAAAAAGACTTGCACAGAGGTGGAAAAATGCCTGTTGTGGTACTGAGGGGCAGCTACTCACCCTGTAAAATGTCAGAGTGTCAGACAGGGATGCCCTGTTGGGCCAGTCCAGTCTCTGGGGTGGTTTTCCAGCACTGGGGAAAAGTCCTGGAAGCTGGCTCCTGCATCACCTGTGGCTGTTTTTCTCTCCATCCCCTGCACTGGCTTTCAGTCCCCTCCTGAATTCCTGGCTATATCAAAGGAGAGGAGACAAAAAGGGCCAAATGACTATTTCTAAACCAATGCAAACACCCCAGGCAGCAGCTCAGCCCTGCAGTGCCCAGCTCCCAGAACACTCATCCTTGCCCTCAGTGTCCCCCTGCCCTCCCCTCTGCCAGGTGCCCACTCAGCCTCCCCTCTGCAGCTCACACATGCCAGCTGCCTGCCCCCTCCATGGTCCCAGCAAAGGGAAGGGGCTGCTAACAGAAATATCTTGCTTCATTGTGACCTCCCTGACCTGAAACCCTCCAGAGACCTCTCTCCAGATTATCCTCATCCTGCTGCTACCGAGCTCTGCCTCTCGGCCTTGACCCTTCTCTCCCTGCTGCAGAGGTTGCCCTGTGAGGAGTGGGGGTGTGTCCCTCACGGTGCCTCGCTGCTGCCTTTTGTGTGATCTCCCACATGGCCCTCCCCTCAGCCAGAGGTTCTCCTGCCGATGTGCCGGGCTCAGCGCTGGCACCGCGGCATCCCCTGGGATCCTGTCTCTTAGCAACGCCGAGGAAGATGCTGAGCACACGTCTGGTCCATCGGTCCACGGAGCCTCGGCGCACAGTGCAGAGGGCAGCTGCTGCCTGGAGGGAACACAGTCCCCCTGCACACCCCACCTCCCCTCTCCCCCGCCCCTGAGAAGCGGGTGAGGGGCTCAGGAGGCTGAGCACTGTGTGGTAAGATACACACAGGTACCCCCAAAAATGTCAGGGCAGTGGAAAGAATCCAAAAACATTCATCCTGAAGATGAGAACGCTAAAAACTTGCAAAGGAGAAGCTGCATCAGGCTACAAAGCAGCGCTGGGGCTGAGAAAGACACACCTCCTGTTTCTTCTTCGAGTTTTATTATCTCTGCTTCCCCATCTCTCCCCACTGGATGCGAAGACCTGTGGCATCTTCTCTGTCCTCCCATATCAGAGAGTGAGCTTCTGGAATGCAAGAGGGGAGAGAACAGCACTGTTTGGAGAAAGTGGTAGGGAAGCTTCTCTTAAGCCTCTCTGCTCCTTGGTAGCAAAATCTTCCGGAAAAAGAGTATTTACTCCTGCAAGCACCAACGTGGGGCCCCTCAGCCTGGTACCCCTGCCCTGCTCTCCAGCCCATTCCACAGCTTTCTGAAGGCCTTTCCTGCACCAGCAACATGCAAAACTCCCACCACCCTTCTTCTCCTCTTCCACCACTCCTTCACTACCAGCAAAGCCCTTGGGAGGTGCTCAGGCTGCCCCAAAACAGCCAGGGGGGCTGATGAGTATCCCCAGTGCATCCTCCTGTCCCGCACATCCCTGTCCTCCATGCACAGGGCAGAGGGCAGCTGCTGCCTGGAGGGAACACAGCCCCCCTGCACACCCACCTCCTCTCTCCCTTATCCCTGAGAAGCAGATGAGGGGCTCAGGAGGTCGAGCACCAATGTGGGGCCCCTCAGCCTGGTACCTTTGCCTTGCTCTCCGGCCCATCACAGATCTTTCTGAAGCCCCTTCCCGCACCAGCAACATGCAAAACTCCCACCACCCTTCTCCTCTTCCATTGCTCCTTCACCTCCAGCAAAGCCCTCAGGAGGTGCTCAGGCTGCCCCAAAATATCCGGGGAGGGGGGGGTGATGAGCAACCCCAGAGTCCCACTCATCCCCCGTGTCCTGCTTATCCTCCGTATCCATCCTGCTCATCCCCAATGTGTGTCCCACTCATCCCCGGTGTTTGTCCGGCTCATTCCCAGCGTGTGTCCCGCTCATCTCCCGTGTTTGTCCTGCTCATCCTGGTGTGTGTCCCGCTCATTCCCGCTGTTTGTCCCGCTCATCCTCCAT